ATGAAGCGCATAAAGATGTAGCCATGGATAATATTGACAACCAAATAGTTTTAGAAAAGAATAATCAAGTTATTGATCGAGTAGTGTTTGAAATAGGATTTTGTGATCAAGGAAAGGGGTGCGGAGTTGGTTAATGATGTGTACTACCATATCAAAGCCTCGAGACCAATAGATGAGAGGAACAGATGAATGTTGTAATAAAATAAAGCTAGTTTTGACAATAAGGCAATGCTTACATTCAACACCTTCATTTTATTTAGGTGTATGGGGGTAAGAACTATGTTGGGTGATGTCATTATCACATAGATATGTGGTTAGAGATTGATATTCATCACCCCAATCGGCCTAAAAGGATTTAATTGGTTGGTTAAAATTTTTTTCATCAAGATGGCAAAATTTGATAAACACACTTAAGACTTTGGATTTGAGATGAATAAAGAACACCTAACTATATTTATCGAAGTGATAAAAAATAACATATAATAACATGTTCCTTAGAGGAATGAATAGGAGAGAGGGCTTATAAATCAAAGCAAATTCAATCCAATGCGTCTTTAGCCTAAAATTGGATTTAGAAAACGAAAGTTTCTTAGTCTTACTAGTACAACGGACATCACATAAACTAGTAGGCATTTTATTAGAAAAAGAAATAGAAGAATCAGCTAAAGCACGTCGAATAATTTGAATTGAAGCATGGTTGAGTCTAGCATGCTAGGTCGAAAGTGGTGTGAGGTTGGCATGAACGGACAATGGAAGAGAATAATGAAACAGAGAATAAAGACCATTATTTATTAGATCGCAAGTAAAGCTCTTCCTTCATCCGAATATCTTTGATAACAAAGTAAGAAGGAAATAATTCAACGAAACATTGTTAGATTTTGTGAATGAAGAAACAAATAGTAAATTATGATGAGCTTTAGGAAGTATTCAAGTTGAAGGAATTATTACCAAAGGAGACACAATCGGAGCTAATATTAGATATAGGGAATTTGGAACCATTACCTATTCGGACCTTCTTAGGATCGATATATTCGTAATGAACACCAAGGTTCTCTAAATTAGTAATTAAATGATGAGTTGTACTTGAGCTCAAAATTCATGCATGGTTACGATTTGGAAGCCATTAGGAAGGTGGGTGATCGATTGTTGAAAAGGGAAGAATGATGGATCTTTAGGCTAGGATAGTTAGGGGCCACATGCCCAAGACCATGACAATTCAAAATAAGGCCACGTAAGGAGCTACTATTATTGGAAGAAGTTGGTAGTGGAAAAAGATCGTTTGTGTTTGGATGTCTCGTGTTAAAGAGAGATGAAAAATTAGGTTCAAAACGACCACAACTATAAATCTAGATTGGCCACGCCTTTGTTTCTACCGCAGCTAGTGGAAGAGAGGCGAGAAGAAAAGTGGGCGATGATGGTACCGAATCAAGCACGGATTCATCATTCGCAAGTCGAGATTCCTCACTTAGCAAGATACCATATAGGTCATCAAAGGATACCGGTTGGAGTCGAGCTTCAATGTTGTGGACAAACGAATGATACACCGAGTCCAAGACCACCAAGAATATCAAAAATAAAATCATCCTTAGGAACTCGGATGGTTTATTGATGATTGTCTTAACTCAAGTCATGCGAGCGATGATGGAGTCATTCTTGTAATCAAGGTCATGCAAAGAGGTTTTTAGTTGGTGAATTTGAGTGACGAGCTAGAAGCATAAGTTTTGGCAAGTTTCGCAAGGCAACACGAGTTGTCTTAGCACCTATAATTTGGGAAAGAGTAGGTTTGATAAGGAAGCAAGCCATCCAACTTAGAATAAGTGGTCTTTGGGAACTAAGTCGTGTATTCGGATTCCGAACCGTGTCGACAAGGAACTATGAGGGAGGATCAACGGACCCATCGATGTGGTGAACTAAATTGTATCCATATAAAAGAGGATAGAGTTAAGTTTTTCAAAGTAAGTAGTTTGTAGAAGAAAGTTTGATGGATAGTGGGTTGGAATTTAGGAGAGTAAAAATTACGGAACTCGAAGCGACAGAATAGAGATGAGAGATGGAGTATTGGATTGGACATAATGGAGAGAAAGAAAGAAGCAAATGAGAAAAAAAATCAACCGATTAAATCCTTTTGGGCTTTGATACCATGAAAAAGTCAATTATTCAATGTATTTGTATTTGAATACAAAAGAATATATATAGGAATCTACAAATGTTGTTGTAACAAATATTTAAACTATATAGATAAAATTTTAGGATTTATCATATTATCTTATATATATTTGAATTCTATTTTGAATAGCAACATGCTTATCACTATCGTATCTGTTGAGGCCATGGCACTCCCAAAATTTAAAATCTTCTAATTTGGTTTTCAAATTTTTAATTTTTTTCACAATGGTACTTGTACTGCTATGCATGACACCACTTAAAAAACAAAAAAAACGACAACAAATATGTTTCTCAAGTTTTTCCGTAATTCAACTCATTTCAAGTTCGAGGATAGCACATCCATTCACAAATTTCTAGTTCTATCTAGCCGTTAAGGAATTTCTTATGACAAATACCAAAACAAATACCCACACAAACGAAACTCATATATATATATATATATATTCCTAGAGTTTCGCTACTAAGGGCATTTGTTAAGGAGCATTAATACTCCTTCAACTAACTCACTAGCACATCTTTATATGGAATTAATTTTCTCTAATTAAATTATACATTTTACTCAAATTGAGCTATTAATTATTATTATTTTTTTACAAACATACTCTCAATAAGTAATCACTAGAAAATTTCTTTTCCGCCATTGAACTTAGCTCTCTTTTGCATAATTTTTTTTAGCTCTCTATTAATTATTAATTGATCTCATGGTGAGCGTGGAGAATACTTATTTCTTTTTTAAGAAGCACCGTGCATGAATTAAAAATATAATCCCTCATGTATTTAACACACAGAGACACATATCATGAATATTTTTTATTTTTTAGATAATTTGTCATAAAAGCATAAATTGGGATTATTTTGTATATTTATTGGAGGAGAATTCTATAAGATTAATTGCATCATTTTTTTATATTAAATTACATATAAATATCTAATTCAATTTTTATTTTTCTTAAACATAGTCTAAAAATTTGGGTTCAGTATTATGATTTGATACAATGAAATGCGAATCTTTGTAAGTTGCTAACACCAATCAGATCATACCAAACTATATAAAAAAATATGGCCGTATTGAATTGTCTTGAAAATATTATTCAGAGAAATTGAAATGTTATAAGCCTCTATATTGTTGTTCAAAAAATTAAATTAACCAACCTATTTTTTTTATAAAAAAAATCAAATAATCAATTAACATATTTACCCTTGTATAATGGATCGTATCTACGACAAATATCTTGGCTTGATGTAATGCATAAAGTGAGAAGTGAACCTTTATTTATCATCTATTCGCACCAATTAGAACAAATAATTGAATATTTAAAAAATAGTAACCAATCAAATTGTTCTATTTTTCATGCACTAAACATTATAATATACGAATCAAAAGTGCATAATATTTTTATCTAAATTAATTTCGTTAAAAATATTTGTCTCTTTTTACAATGTATCAATGTATCTTTAGATTTTTGTTATTAAAAAAATATAACTAATTTTCATAGATAATATTCAAAATATTTGATATATTTTTATTATTATTTAGAAAAGCAGATGTAACTGAAAAAATATTTTTAATTAATATTAAGAAATCTATGTTGATTATAATGTCGATGAATAGAAGTTATAGTTTTTTTTTCATAAATTAAAAGCCGATAAAGTTGGCATATTAAAATGAGAGATAAAATTAAGTTTTTGGGGGATTTGTTAAAAAGATTAGCTAGCATAAAAATTCAAAAGAAAAGAGTTAATGTAACGCCGAGAATTCCTTTGAAAATAGAAGGTCACTGAAGTAATCTTATTCTTAAGCTACAGGATTCAAGGATATAAGAATTAATTGAGTTTTTAAATACTTAATAATGGATGCCCTTTGAATCCTTCAGTAATCAATACGTTAATGGCTAGTTTTTTTTATTAGGGATAAGCACTATTCGATTTAAATTGAAAAATTAAATCGAAATATCAATTTTAATTTGATTTTTAATTAAAAAAATAAAAAATAATAATAAAATAAGTTTTTTTATTTAGTTTGGTTTTTAAATTTTTTAGTTTGGTTTAAACTAAAAACAATTTTTTTTAATTTTTTAAGTTTTAAAATAATGGAATTAACCAAATTATAAACGTTTTGATTAATGAATTTATGGTGTTTGGATATTTTTACTTTATTAAAAAAAAATTAAAACTAGCTTAAATCGAAAATAAAAAAACCAAATAGTAATTCTGTTCGAATTCAATTTATTTATTTATTTTTTTTGTAAGTTTGATTAATCAAAAATCGAACCAAATTTATTAAAAATCAAATCGAAAATCCAAATGATCACTCTTGACTTTTATTAGTTAATTTCCAAATTCTTCCAAAAAGATTTACCAAACAAAATCGAAATCTTAGCATGTGATTGATTGGCAAATTAAATACTGATCAGAATCTCAATCTTTCTTAGACAGTAGCTACTAGCTAGGGATGAGGTTGGTCTAGCTAGGAATTTAATTTTTATCATCAATCCCCTTAATTATGACATGATAAAATACCACAATCATGCAATTGAAAGGCAGTGACCAATAACAACAGGGAACATAAATTCATAATGGATTCATGCATTTGTAAGGTAGTTGCCAACTAGCAAAATTTGGCAGCTGCCTTTTGAGCCAGAAGCCTCATGTTCACGTGATAGTGCTTCTAGGGTTTTTGTTTTCTTGCGTCCATCACTATTCCTATATAAAAACACTACCACTCTCCTCAAGCTTTACCACTCTGCTGATTACATTCTCTCTTTCTTTCTAACCCAAAGTAAGAGAGTGTAAACATGGATTCTACTAAAATTTCAGCTTTACTCTTCCTTTGCATGATCTGCATTTCCTCAGCCACCCCAACTCTTGATTGTGGTTCTTGTGGCAGACCAAAGCACAAACACCCTAAGACTCCTAAGACTCCTAAAGGTCCCATTATACTCCCTCCTCTGCCAGTTCCTCCAATTGTTAAGCCACCAGTCACCCTCCCTCCACTGCCAGTTCCTCCAATTGTTAAGCCACCAGTGACACTCCCTCCCGTGACTCTTCCTCCTGTCACGGTTCCTCCAGTGACTACAAAGCCACCAAAGGGAAAGCCATGCCCACCACCTCCATCAAACAAGGATACATGCCCTATTGATACACTAAAACTCGGAGCTTGTGTCGATCTTCTTGGTGGGTTAGTGCACATTGGCCTTGGTGATCCAGTTGTGAACCAGTGCTGCCCAGTTCTTAAAGGACTTGTTGAACTTGAAGCTGCAGTCTGCTTGTGCACCACTCTCAAAATCAAGGCTCTTAACCTCAATATCTTTGTCCCACTTGCTCTTCAACTCCTTGTTACTTGTGGGAAGACACCACCTCCTGGTTACACTTGCTCTCTCTAAATCCAAGTTAAGCACACGTACTTCACTTTACCTAAACTCTCAAAATCATATCCTAATCCTTGTGTTAGCATGGTTTGGCGAAATCGATTCCAAATAGTGGAGATACCCACCAAACGATATATTTGTAAAATATTTTTAAAAAAAGTGTATTTTTTATGAATTCTTTTGCTTTTATAATGTTTTTACGTATCTAAGTTATAGTGGTGAGAATTATTGGCTCACGATATATATTTCATAATGTATGTGCAGGTTCCTTAGCTGATCCATGGATGAAAGATTCGACATGAGAGGATGTCGAGCCTGATCCCTCTTCCTTTCTTTAATTTTCTTTGGTTTGTATCAATGATGTTTGGCCATATTGTTCTTCACCGATATTTATTGTTTTTTTTTTTTTTTTTTTTACCTTTAAGATTAATGTTGCAAGTGTGATTTGTCTTAGACAGGGAAGCAATCAAGAATATGTTTCTCTCTCATTAAAAAATCTTATTGGATTCTCAATTTGTTAGATAGCGTTTTGTTTTGTGTATCTTTTCTTTTCTCTTTCATTGGTACATTTTGGCATGTGAAAAGCTGAACTCGTAAGCTAGTGAATGTAAATTATTGATTTCATGTTCTATATATATATATATATATATATTATTCCATTGCACATGGGAATTCCAATCAATTCCCCTCCCAATAATCTCACCGACTGATTTTTACTCTATATAACTAATCATAATTATTTCTTAATAATATTAAGTTTGGACTGATTTAGTGTAAAAAAATAATTATTTTATAATGGAATAAAGATTAGACATGTTTTAACCCTTCTTATTTTATAAGATGCCATTTAAATAATAAATACATAAATTATGAAGTATAGATACTTCAAAATGTATTTTATAACATTCTTATTATAGATTTCAAACAAATTAATTCATAACTATTTTTTTCAATTGCTTGCAATTAGTTTTAATATATATATATATATATATATCAACGCAACCATGCCTGACCTATCATGCCCATATCTCACTCCTAGCAGGTTTCCATTGTTTGAAAAAAAAAAATTCCTACCATTTTAATGGTTCAAGAAATTTAACGTGAAAGTTTCCACTATAAACAATAAATAGGGAAAGGGAAAAAAAATGGAGAAAATAACATTGTTATACTTTTTTTATCTATTTTTTTTTAGGTTGAGCAATGAGGATGCTTTGAGTTAGGCTCTGCACATCTTGAAACTAGTTTTTTTCTAATCGTCATTAAAAAACATTTTTCAACATATAATTTTAAATATTTTAAAAATAAAATTTCAAGAATATTATTCCTGCCGACCATCACGTTTTTGTTATTTTTCCATATATAGAGAAGGGATTGGGAAAGTTTGTGACAGGACAGCGTGGTTTGCAAAAATTCCAATGGGCTGTGTCATATCATACGTGATATGAAAGAGACTTCGAGTCTATTCAATTTCCTCTCACAGCAATGCAACCTAACTTTTGGATGGAGAATAGTGTGGAGATATCTTCTTATAACACTGTTACTCTTATCTGTGACTGCCACACTTTCTTTTACTTTTTTTCAGTGGTAATTTAAAGAAATGATAGCAACATATCTTACGATATTAAAATATCGGAATTTCATATTAGTAAGATGTTAATGTCATCTTGAATAAAATAATATAAAAAAGAAATCTAATTTATCCATACCGGCATTGTAGCATTGTAGTAATCTCTGATAAAGGGCGGAAATCTTGCTTTTGTATAGTAGAATCCATGAAAACCGTCCTTTTTAACCCCCAAAAAAAAAAAAAGGAAAAGGAAATTAATAATTGAGTGATCAAGGGTGATTAATGGTATTGTTGTTGCCTGTCACTCTCGTTGAAAAATTGGCATATATAGGAAGGACACAGTACTATGGAAAGCAGCTGGTATGTAATTATTTCAGTCTGATGAGTCCCATAGAAATGGTACCAGAATTTGCTAACAAAACTAGCTAAGTTGGTGAAGAGTCCAAGAAGAAGGAGAAGGTGGAGTGATGATATTCAGAGCAAATTGCAAAAACAAGCAGTTCTGGTTACGGTCATGAAGTAGGCAGTGTTAGATATAGATAAGAGTGAGGAATACTTTTTTTATGTTTTGCCTGGCTACTGTGTCGGTAAATACATGAAAATGTAAAAGATTTTACGAGTGATTAAAGGAGGAGAAACCAGGTGGACCACTTTAAGCAATGCACATGAACTTAGTTTGTCTTCTTTTCTTCAAGTAAACTTATGGCTTCTGTTGATGCGAGCCTGATTGGGCTCCTATCCTCAAACCAGGAGATTCCTTGGGGTTTTTTTTTTTTTTTTTAGCATAATCTTGTTGTAAATTATAAATTAGTGTTTCTAGTTTCGAGAAATGAATTAATTATTTTTTTAAAAAATAATTATTTAGTCTCCAAATTTTCAAATCTACTTGTAATTTAATTATTTTTTAATTTTTTTGTTTTAAGAAATAGAAAAAGAAAAAAATATATGAAAAGATTGATAAGAAAAAAAAGTTATTTTGTAGAATAAAAATAACATTAAAATAAATATAGTCAGAACTAGTCAAATAATTAAATAATAATTTTTAAAACAAAAGGAATTAGTTAATTTATTTCTTAAAACTATAAGGACTAATTTATAATTTACTCCATAATATGGTGCAAGGTCTTAACCTCTACACCAATTCTCCATTGGATCCCCAAATTTTTATTTTCAATTGAGTTCCAATATGTCATGTGTTCTTAATTAGGCCTCTTCATGCATCCAAAGGATCCATTAATGTCTTCCATACAAAGCACTTATTTTGTGCAATAAAACAACAATGTTTTTTTTCCTTCTTGGAGAAATCAACTTAAAAATTAAATAAATAAATCTATCTGTCTTTATATAATATACAAAGTTTTTCATCTCGTCTCTAGATTTTCAATTGCATCTCATTTATTTTTGAAAATTTTTGAAATATTCAAACTGGCTTTTCGATCAATTTTTCTAACCATAGAATTTTTTTGTCGAAATTTCCTAAAATAAATTATGAAAAAAAAAATATTTAAACTCATACAACCAGCATTTCTATTTTAAAGTCTTTAGAATTTTATTTTATTATGGTGATGATGATGGTATGGCTTTCAGGTGAGGATTTCAGTTGGGTTTTCATGGGAGGAGCAGCGGGCTTGACCTACCACAATCATTTTTCCTTCTTTTGTTTTGAAGAAAACAAAGAAAACTCATAAAGAAAATGATAGAAATAACCTAAAAAGATTAGTTCTTGCCGAAGTTTGAATTAATGGAGAAGATATGGGACTGGAGCGGAGCCGACCAGCCCAACCAGGGCAGTGTCAGTTTTTTCTGAAGAATTTTCTCTACCAACGACTATCATCATTATTCATTAACCTAAATTCGAGTTTAGAGGATATTTATGGTGAAAATTAAATTAAAATGATGACAAGCATAATTGGGGTGAAATTTGGTTAAAAGAAATAATTATTTTGTTAGTATTTCTTTTAGCAATAAAATCTGTGCGATTTAGCCTTCTGCAAAAGCATTAATTTCATATTGGTATGCATAATCCAATCCGCTTTGGATGCTTAACCATTTATGCAGCTTATTATTATTTTCAAGCAAAACAACCAAACCAGGAGAAGTATACGGCTTGTAAATTAGATGAAAGATTCATTCCAACAAATATCTATGTGCAAGTTTACTCATAAATAAGGATCCAGCCTTTTGGATGGCCCATGCGTGCGCAACATGTATCCTGTCTTTCTACACTAATACGCTACAATTTCTCGACAAAGAAATTCACAAATTGTGCACATCCAGCCCAGATTTTAACCTTTTTCTCTGTGGGATCACTTTCATTGCAGGCTTGGAACTGTAATGTCAGATATCTATACTATTACTGGCACATCATTAGGAAAATAATTGATCTCCAGCATATTTGAACTGATCGACTCACTGTTTAGAAAAATCAAATTGCAGCTTAACCTAATTTTAAATTTTATCAATCAATCAAATTGCAGCAACATATATAAATGATAACCCTAGGTTTATACGCCCCCGCCTTTGTTTGAGGCATAGATGGGCAGAGGACCAAATTGAGGCGAAAAGGCAAATGGTAATAACCTCCTTAATAGCGTCCTTAAGCACCAACTATACCATAGCACCTGAAACATTGAAGCTGAATTGAGATTGAAGAAGAGAAACTATAACTTCTTGCAGCAGTGGCCATCTCTATTAACATGGTAGTAATAGAAGAGGATGAATCCTCTTTCATCTCCACCTCATTGTGTAGAAACGACACAAAATAGCAATCAAAAAACCATTTCACATTTGCACGAATGACAAACATCAAAGGAACATGGAAATCTGAAAGAAATTGATGAATAATTCCTTCTTCTTCTTCTTTCTGTTTTTCGTCTTGATAAGCACAACATAAATTTCAAAGGTGAGAACCCGACTCTATCCAAAACACTCGGCCGCACCAATTAATGAACCCTAGATATCAAAATTAAAGAAAAATGAAAAGAAAACTTATTCTCTGAATCGAACTATATATATGTTACAGATCCTGTTAAAAGGATTGCTGATCTACCTGCTAAACTAGGACTGAGAAGGGGGCCAGACAAGAACAAAAAGCCAATGTTACAGCCATCAACACTTGTTCAATTGTACACCACTTGCGAGGAACCTGACCCGACTACATTGTTTTAACTTGGCAATCGCTGCTTGTGAGTTACCGAGCAGAAGATCAATATAAACGGCTGTCAGAGTGGCTTCCGGACGATTAGGTACAAGGGATAATGCTTGTGTCACGAAATGGTGGGCCCGCTCAAGATCACCCTGTACTGCACACATGACTGCAAGATTGGCGTACAGGGTTCCATGTGCCTCTGCTGGATTGAGGAACACAATACCTAGTGATTCCTCAAGGGAAGAATTCTTCATACCGACTGATCCTCCATTCAACTCTTCATAATCAAAAGCTTTTTCCACTCGCCATTGCTCAAAGTCTTCCTGGCTGAAGGGCAACTCCACATTATTTCCTCCAGACAAATAAATCGACAAATGCTCAGCAGCCTCCTTGGGCTTGTTCAGCAGGCAGAGGGCCTCAGCTGCATACAAATGACCCAGAAAAATATAAATCCTCGAACATACTGGAAGTTCCAAGAGAGACCTTGCAGTTGACAAGGCCTTCTCGGGATTTTCCAATTCCAACTCTACATATGCTAAGTTAGCGAGAAGTGCTTGCTTGATCATCTGATTTTCTCTCCTGCAAATATCTTCATAGAAAGAGATAGAGTTCTGCATGATTTCCTGACTTGTCCCTCCCTTCTGTTCTTTTGCATCTCCATTTGCATTAACCTGACCTAGGCCTATAGATGATGCTTTGGAATCAAGGCCAGTTAAATTCTTGTGGTTTGGACTCTTCATAGATCCTGCTTCGTTCATTTCATTTTCATCCAAGGATAAATTAGAAGGGAAACCAGCTTTCAAGTGATTTAATTCGGAGTAATCCAGCAAATGCAGAGCATTGAGGAGACACTGCCGAGCAAGGGACATAGAGAGCTTCGGTTGGCCATCACTACCCAAAAACATATCTTCCTTTTCAACAGAATCCACATACCCGTTTCTTGAAATCCCATTTTCAATTGCAAGATGCCTCCATTTTCCCTTGCCAAAAACATGAACTATAACGTCTGACTTTTCTGATAGAACCTGACCAGCTTTTAGAAGTCCCTTCTCCAAAGCCATCAGGCAGCATTCAGCAAGCCGAAGCCACAATAAAGGCTGGTTGTAGAAAACCAAACTTGCTTTTTCGAAACAGCGAGCAGCCAGTAAGGGTTTCCCACAGGCCAAGTGCTGTACTCCACAGTTATATACAATGAGGAGAGATTTGTCCTGTGAGAAAGTTAACAGCTTCCGTGGCTTGTCCTTCCGAAGAGACGAACTATTAGTCAGTGCCTTGGAAAAGAGCACAGATGCTGTATGGTATTTCCCAAGCTGATAGTAGATGCACCCAAGGTTGTTGAACATGCTCGAAATCCCCATCTCTGTCCGATTACTTGATGCCATTAACAGCTTGATAGCCTTACGGTAGTTACCACGAGCAAATTCAAGCTGAGATTTCAGGAGGAGAGCCATGGGTGAGTCTCTCAAACGTGCAATGTTGATAGCAAGCTTGACTTCACGCTTTGCTTGTTTCAAATTCCTAGTGAGAAGTAAAAATTGAACCTTGTAAAGGTGCAACTTGAGCTTCATTTCAGATGGAGAAAAAGACCTGTCAATCGGGGCCCTTGAAAGATCAGTTGAAGGTGAAAGACCCGCAGGCCTTGCTAAGTTTTGTCCACTTATGTCTAGTGAGAACATCGATTCATACTCAAGTGTCTCGTCTGATAAGGATAGAGTTCTTGACAAAGAATTTTCCAAAGTATTCTCACTAGCAGCTAAATCTGAATTAGCATCCATCCCCAATGAACTGCTAGGAACAGGCAAAGATTTTGCAACTGGATTAGCAGATTGCTGTTGTGCGGTGTTCCCGTTATCACCTTGACCCACACAACCAAAGCCAAAAGCTTTTTCTAGATATAGTAATACATCCTGAAAATGGGGAAGAAGTTATAAGTCAATAAAGAATGCCCAGTTTAAGAGCTTTTCAATTGCCAATAACTCAAACAACATATTGCAGTACAAAGAAACAACAAAGAGCATTTTGTTGTGAAGGCAGAACAGCCACATTCTCTACTAAATTTGTAATGCATGGGTTCCAACAGTATTTACTGAAATTACTATACGAAATGCCAATACAACACAGACTCAATTATCAAATTGCAATATAATGCAAGGTTTAGGGTTTTCAATCTCAAGTGCCAGAAATTTTAAGATCTTTAGTGAAAAATTTGCCACCAGAAGATAACAGAAATAATTGAGCGAGAGATCCAAACAAGCCTCCTTCAACAAAAACTTCTTTGCACTATTCTTTTTCCGTTTCTGATTGATAAGACACAAACCTTTCTACCACCTGAGCCCATGCCCAGGAGGCTTAACTTAATCGTGAACAGTATCACCTACGAAAGTAAAAAAAAAAAAATTAAAGAACGCATTACCTAAACAACTGCAATTCAAGATCATGGTTGATGAAAACCAAATTATAATATATCACCATCCTTCATTCCTTTCATTGGCGTCCTTCATCACACAGCCTTATACTTTATTTGGGGTACTATATCCAATCTTTATAGGATCATTCTCTACTAAATCACAGGCTTTTGAGCCTCCTCCCACAGCCTCAAAGCCAGATTTTTACGAGGGCATGAGCTAACTTAGTTATTGAACTCCTACCACACCTAGGATGAGAGGGCTCAAGGAAAGGGGAATTGACCCTCCCTGGTTGTATTAGCCAACCATTGAAACTGACTTTATTTGAAGCATATTACGAGCGAGACCTATTTAGCCAATGCTGAGGTCTGAGGTCAGGGGTTTAGAAGACACACGTGGGGTTAGACTTCAATAGCAATGAAATCGAATGTATATTTAAGTCAAACTCCACTCATGCATCTTCTAAACCCCTGACCTCATGTATTGACTAAATAGGTTTCTCTCATAGTTGCCACTTTGCTTGTTGGCATTTCTTTTAACATAACTATCAGATGGAACTCCAAAAGAAGTGCCCAGAAACTTATTTCCTAATAACATAAGTTGGAAGTTCGGTACAAAATGCTTCAAATTGAGGGGGAAAATTCAAGACCGTATGAAAAACATTCTTTTAACCTAAAGAAAGGATATTATTTGAAAATTTGCAGAAACTGCCTGAAACAAAAGAATCAAGATAGCTGGTATGGAGAAGTTCAGATAACCAGCAGTGACTAGCAAGTGCTTCTTGCGGATTTCAAGTTTACTTCAAGTAGGTATGCAATGCTGGGAATGTAATCGTCACCAATGGATAAAGTAAAAAGTGCAGCCGGAAGGAAAGTAATTTACTGTTTTCTCTTGCAATTGTAGATTGTCAAAACCTAGTGTATTTATAAACACCAAAGATGCGAATCTTAGATCTAATTTATTTTTGAAACCAAACATACAGCATTTCAAAATGTGGTCGTGCTGAGAATGTGCCTGAGCTCACATCAAAAGGAATCTATAGCTTCAGTCAGCACAGAAACTAAACATGGAGTGGTGGTGTTTGACAAGGAGTATTTCATGTAAAAGGCATATAAACACTTTTGAATAGGTGGAACTTCCAATGCAGAGGTTGAGCAACAATTCAAGACATGGATGGCTTCTTCTTTGATAATTTTCCGTCCTCATTTGAATCTCTACTCAAATTTCAGTAGCTAGAATTCCTTTTTTTTTTTTTTTTCTTCCTCTCTTCTTTTGCTCTATGAAAATTTGTGGTCTGCTCTCTCAGCACTTAGCTGGCGGCATAACACTCCTTTGTGCTCTATTTATAAGAACTACTTACATATCAAAGTTTTCAAAATGTTCAGACCATATTGTCACTATGGCATATACAGTTCCTTAATTGAAAATCTCTACCAGCATGAGGCAGCATTCTGTTTTCAACATACAAACACCAAGATCGTTTGAGAAATGGAAGCAAAAAAACATGATTGGAGGACCACAGAGTCATGTATAAAGCAACTATGACGGGGATTGCAATATGTTAACAGTATTGAAACACTAATTTAGTCAGCACTTACAGCAGATTTAGATGCATCCTGGCAGGCAAGCGCAACATCTAGCAGCAAGAGGCAAACATGAAGAGCAGTTCTCTGCATATTAAAAGTAGAGTATCAGAGCACAAGAAAACAACAATGGGAGAGAGATAATTATAGCTTAACAAAACTATACCTCCTCTATAGGTTCGATATTGTGATACAGCGGTTCTAGAACTGATAACGCCTTTGAATATTCATGAAGATGATACCAAATAATTGCCTATAAGAGGCCAAATTAAAATGTCACTCAAGATTGCAAAGAAAAATCAATAGCAATTCATAAATCAACTACAAATATATCAAGAGAGCCTACAATGTTTAGCCTTGCTACAGCAGGGTCAAATTCATCCATGTAAACGACAGATGTACTGTTTGTGGCAGATGCTTGTTGTGTCGTTGCACCACTTCCTTTAGACCCTGAAACAACTTTGTTCCCAAGATTGCTAACAGTCTCCACCTGCTCTCCTGAAGCGTGAGCAAGCTCTTCACTTTTCCTCTGAACCAACACCGACAAATGAGACGAGATAAACTGTCACGCTATGATGCAGCAAACTTACCACACAGTTAACAAAATTCTCTTACATAATGTCCATACTCCATTCAGTAGTTACATTAAGATTCTGAAATTGGATTTACAACTATAACAAATTTTTAAATCCATCATGTGGCCCCCGCTAGAAAAACCCTTTACGCAATTCAGCAGTATTTTTATCATCCACATTTTGACCACCATGTACTTTGTCGCTACTTTTGACTGATCATTTAGATCCATCAAAGGACAATAGCCATACAGGGACTTTTTAAATGGTAATATCCCATTCATGGATGCAGGCCTGGTGTCTCTGAAGAAACTCTGGACAAAAATAACATGTAGAGAATTCATAAAAGTGCAATTATGTGCAATAGAAAATTCAATTATGTTGTGCAACCCCGTAGGACCGTCATTGGAAAGATTGTTCAGGACTACAACATTGGACAGAATTTAAAAGGTGGGAGTGGATACAGGAATACAATGGCCAATAAAGAGATACTTATAAAGAAGAGATGTTTATTGGAAAACTTTTAATAAGAATGTGGAAAAGCAATAACATGATTCCAAAACGATACATGTAAATGAGGACAGTGGACAATTTAGAATTTTCTTAACATACCATCTCACAGTAACAGGGTCCATTTTATTATCTTCTAAAGTGAAAAAGAAAAAAATAGTAAAATAAACTGCTTCTCATAAGAAAGAGATTATGGGACCTTGTGCAATGATTATGATGTTATACCAAGGAAGGAGCAAACCACTCAACACATGTCAGCCATCTGGGTGTCAGCATTATGGAACAAATAATATGGAGAAATTTAAAATTAATAAGACAATCGAGCACCAGGCAGCAGGATTAAGAAGAGAGAAGCAACCAGCTTTTAGATATTATCTACTGAAGGTACGTACCATATGGGTGAAGATGACAAGACGCATAAAAAAGGATGTGATAGAATTTCTGGATGAATGAGCCACCTTTAAGGAAATCCTAAAGGTAGAATGAAAATATGCAGAACAACAATGGAGGCTAAAAGCAAATGGTACCAAAGCCTATCCAGATGTCAACATGAGGATGCATATCAAAAAAGGTAAGCTGCCTAAGAAAGAAACTAAAAGGAAACTAAAGATTCTAGATTGTAGAGTTAAAATACTTAGAAGAGGTTTAAAAAAGCTAAAAACATGAATAAGAGGAGAAAGAAATCAACAATATTTTATATAAGTCTAACAACAATCCTATAGAAGTTTGGAATTCCTGAAGGGAGGTGAAGTAGGAATTGTTTTAGCTGCAAAACACTGGAGATAAAGAACAACTAATGAATAGATAAGGATCACTATGAGTTCCTTTCTATAGGAAAAAAAAATGTGATAGCTAAAGTTGTACAAACTATTAGGTATTGAATTTTATATTATGAAGCCTTAGAAAGCAGAATGGGCACAAATTAAGGGGTGGCAGCACCATATTTATAAACCAAATAAGGTATCCCTGAGGAAATTGAATATGGAGGCTATCCTTCTCATATGAAAATTAATGAAGAAATACAAAATAAATAAATAGATAAATAAAAACCGTATGTTCTTACCACTCTAAACAACGCATTTGATAGACTATCAATGACCCAGCTCAATGACAAGTGTTCAAGGAGAGAATTTTAATTCAATACATATGTCTGATAAAGGTACGGCTCTACTGTTTTAGGCCAGGCAAAACTAAAAAAAGTATTGCATGCATTGCAACTTTCACAGTGCTAGGATAGAGAAAAGTGTCCCGTTATGTTGGGTGGAAAAAAGGTGCCTCAGTATAATCCTTACATTTGACACTACATCCGAGGAGGACATAACATATTGTTAGTGACTTGAATACCACATCATTGTAAGATTCATTATTAGAAAAAAAAATTCTTTTAAATCACAAATAGACTGGTTATCTTTATGATACTGGGTGCTGGAATGAAGTAGCATATGAATAAAGTAAACATAGATAAGACAACAATATTGAAACAGAAGCAAAGAAACAGGACTGGATTCTAACTTAAGAACAAAATTTATCATGAAAAATGAGAATTGAGTAAAAAAACAAGCACATTCATACGAAACTGGATATAACATTCATTGAAGATGTATGTTAGGAGGTGATATGAGATAGTTTAGATATGTCAAACATGTTATGATGTACCAGTGCAGAATAGTGATTGATTGAAGTGGTAGGAACTATGATGAGAGAGGTGTCAAAAAATGAAATGGGCCAGAATGGGTTTCTTTTAGTATCATACCAGCTCAGCAAAAAACTTTGAACACAGCATCACAGGGAAAAAAATCTGGGTAGACAAATTGAAACAGATACTTATTTGGGTATTACGATATGGTAATTCACTTCCCGAAAAATCAATGTATCATAGATGCAAACAAGATTAAGATTCGAGTAGGTGATTCCAGGATTGTTATCAGTGGATTAAAAATACAATCTAGCGAATACATCGCTGCGTTGACAACTTTCCAAATTCATTGCTGAGTTAACAACTTTCCAACTTACTTACAGCAGGATAGAAGACCAAATCTAGCTCAAGAAATCAACAGCAACAATAATGATAGTATGAAACTAATACACGACTGAAATGACAGACCAAATTCGTATAAGTACACTATCAAAGGAATAACTACCATATAACACAATCCAATACCCACAACTCCAAGTTTGCCTCAGATATGAACTCTGCAATACTGAACAGTTAAGGAATTATACTCATGATTACTGCTGTGAAAGTAGGAACTATTTCTGATTACTGTACCCTTTCACGATGAACTAAATGCATAAACTGCAGCACCATCTAGATAGTTTAATAATTCCATTCCATTCTCTTGCTAACAAAATCTAACATTTTAAATTCAGTTCATCAAGATTATTTATTCCTTCATGAAATCGTCATCCTCCAATAATTAAAGAACAAACCCTTCTTCACACAAAGTCAAAACCAAGCTAATAGCACTCCCTCTCCCCATACATATTACAAAAAACATAACAAAAATAACATACCTCAATATTATTAAGTACTTCGAGCAGCTTCTTTGGATCTGGATAACCATCTCGACAATACTCCGCAATCGCAATATTATGAAGTACCTAATAAAACATTACCCACAGATTACAAACTTTACAGAAACGAAAAAAGAAGCAGAAGAAGAAGAAGAAAGAAGGAAAGAAAGAAAGAAAGAAAGAAAGAAAAAGAAAAGAAAACTTCCACATCAATTGCATATTCAAAATACCCTAATACAATGCATAACTTCAACCTTCATGTGCCCTCCGCGATACAGTCCTTAAATTTGAACTAACTAAATCAAGTGCAAAATTAAGCTTTTCAAGTTAATTAACTAACTTAATCTATAAAAAAAAAACTAATAAAATTTAAAACAGCAACTCAATTAAGTGAGTTAAATCACAAAATTAACTGTCCGTTACTACATTTTACTCAAAATTAACCTAATCTCTAATCAAATAAAATCCAAAAATAAACTGAAGAAGAAAACAAATTCAAAAAAGAATCAAAGGAGTTTATATTATTTGCACCTTTGGATCGTCTTCTTTTTTCTGCTTTAGCTGATACAAAACCTCAAGGCACTCATTGAACCGGCGAGAGTTGAAGTGTAACCAAGCGTCTTTGGCAAGCGCGGCTGTGACGGAAAGGATAGGGTCGTCTTCTCCTCCTCCACCGCCGGTGGAGGTGCCGCCGCCGCCGCTCGATGAGACGTCTCGGTTCGATGTGGAATCTCGTGCGTCCATGATCAGATCCAAAAAAATCAAACGGTCACGATTTGTGTCTTTTTTTTTTCTGAACTCTCGTTATCTAATCTAATGTATCTATGTATAATTGTGACTGAAGTGTATGGAAATGTAAAAACCACCCTAACTTTATGGAAATTGAGATTTAAAAAAAAAAAAACAAAGAAAGAAAGAAAGAAAAGAAAAGAAGGAAGTTCAATTTTTTTAATTTTTGGGAGTGGTAAAAATACAGAAAAAGCCCTAGGGTTTTGGGGATTTTGCAGAGAAGGACAGTTTGCAAAAAGAGGGAGAGAACTTAAAAGAGAGATAGGGACAGAAGGAGGAAAATAGCTAATGTGTTTTTTATTTTTTATTTTTGAAGTTAAAACTGGGTTTTTGAGTGACTCCTTTGAGTAATAGGAGTTTTAATTGGCTACTTTGGTGGAGTAAGTGTGTGAGTATGATTAATTTGGTTTTTGAATTAGGGGTTTTTTGTATATCCGACTCTTTTTTTGGATAAATTATATTTTGGTCCTTATTTATTCAATAATGTTTCACTTTAGATCTTATAAATTTCAAATTTGTAACCTTAAGTCAAAACACATTTGCCCATGAATAGATAATGACATCTAAATATTGGTACTAGATTTGTCAATAGGTCGGACTCGGATCAGATCATAATAAATCTAAATTCGATTTGTTTAGTGAAATAGATTTGGATCGAATTTTATAAATTTGGATTGTGTTTTGAAAATGTGAAATTGAGTCCGACTCTTAACGGACTCGGATTGAATTCGAAACTCCATCAAATTTATCATTTACTTTTTATAAAAAATATATTTTTACTTTATTTCATATATTGCTCAAATGTAAAACATATTTCAATCACTATTTGTATAATAAAATATATTAAGATAATATTTCATTTATTGATTTTGTAAAAAAATCAAAATGTCATATAATTCAAAAGCAAAAAATCAAATAATCTTAATAAAAATTTGTCTTGAACTAAGTAAGAAGTATGATAAAATTAAAATTAAAAAAATTATTTTTTTGTCCACGGGATAGCAAAAATAGATATATAAGTCAATTTATAATTATTTTTTTCAATATTGAATTAAGAAAATGACAAAAAAATTATATATGATTTTTTTAAAATATAGCTGTTATTGTTGAAGAATGTGCGCTACGTGAATTTTATAATGAATAAAATCTAAATCTCAACATATTTTTATATTTATATTTTTTCATATTTACAATTTTTAATATTTTCTATAAAAAATATTATTTTTAATTTCGGATTGGATTATTATCGGATCATATCAAAACAGATTCAGATTTTATTCATTTAAGAAACGGACTAACATATTCAAATCATAATCAAATTCAAAATCAGATTAAAAAATTATTTATTAAATTTATCTAATTACATCGAATTCAAGTCAAGATTCAATCCATTTATAGCTCCAAGTGATATGTATATAGTAAAATATATAAATCTTGTTATATATATATATAATAGTTTTTTTTTTTACTTATTTGATTTTCTCCTATTTTTGTTTTAATTTTATCTCATGAAATCTTGTATATGTGATAGTGTTCTACAAAAATCCTTACTAGTGAAAAAACCAAAGACTAGGAGAATTCGAAAAACGGTCCTGCTCTAGTTGCTTGCAAATTTAACGACAAAGACCACAATGAATTGTTTTTGGAAACTGTGAGATTGATGTCAAAAGGTTTCAAACTATATGTATTAAAGTTGAACATTTTAGAATCTATAGGGATTAGAATAAAGTTTACTCTTCATTGAAACAAGGGCTTTGAGCACTCGATAAGAAAATAAGGAAAGAGGTAGTGGGCAGGTTAGGTTTTGTGATATGGGCTATTTTTGGGTTGGATTGGATTCCTTTTTAGAGGGATTGTTCAAACTTCAAAAGGCATGTATGCTTTTGATGGATTTGGCAGGGCAAGGGAGAATGATGGATGGCTATTGTCAGAGGAAGTAAAAGGCTTCAAGATTTGTTGAGAGAAGTTTGTCATGTGTTCTAATCTTTTATAGCATATGCTATTATTGCTTTCCATGAAGGATGAAAAGAGAGGAGGAAAACAATTTTGCATGTCCTAAAAATCATTTTTTTTTTCTGAGCAAAATTCGAGATTGGTAGGAGTTTTTGAAAATGACATTGAATTTGAAATGGAAAAGGAAGAGTTGCTAGATTTGGAGATTTCATGTTCGGATTTAGGGTTTGGAAAAGCTATGTATAGTTTTATTATTATTATTATTGTTATTATTATTTTCGAGCATGCACTAGGTATTTCGATGAATTAAAAAGGAAGAGATAAAGAGTTTTTATTTCTCATAAGGTATTACACGCTTTGTATACATAAAATAAAATCATCTTCCTGGCATGAATTAAGGGTTGATAAAAAAAAAAACAAAAAACAAAAAACAAAAAAAAAAAAAGGGAAAACATGGCTGATGGCTCCATAATTCTTGGACAGTATTGGTTAATTCTTTAAAAAAATCAAATACTTTTTTGATGACATGAGCCAAGACTTAAACTCAAGATTCCACTTTCTTTTTCCTTTAGATAATACCATTAAAATTAAAAGAAAAAAAACTGAGAAGACATATGAACCAATAAATCGTGTCTATTTTAAAAGTTTTTTTTTTTTTTTTTTGTGAAGCATTTTTCAAAAATAAAAACTCGTGGGTAAAATATCATGACTTTTTCATCAATTTTGAAATAAAAATTTCCTTTTGATTTTTGGTTGATGAGAGAGAAAGAGGGTGGGTGAAAAGAGAAATAAATAGTCAAAAAAAAAAAAAGAAGGTAATTTGAAAGAAAAATCTCTAATGTAACGAAAAACAAATCAAACTATTAAATTATTATCGAAATTAAACATAAAAAACTAAATGATTAGTTTTTAAAACAAAGAATACTAAATTATTCATTTTTTAAAACGAAAGGGATTAACTAATTTGTTTCTCTAGATGAAAGGGACTAGTTTATAATTTACTCGTTATTTTCACAACCATAGTTTTTATCTTTTGATGTCATACAAATATCTCCTGGATATGGACCGCTTTGGATCCGGATGAAAAGCAATAATTTGGTAATAGTGTCTGAACCACAAAGCCCTGCTATAATTGGGCCAGGTCTGGACCATTTGAGATTGCTGTCATAAGCTGCCGTATTGGAAAGGAAGCTGCAGAAACACCTGCAGAGAAAGTACCAGGCATTTCATGTCACAATGGCATGGCGACCCTCAAAAGAGATTTGGTTCGGAAACTAATTCTAAAATACTCTTATTGTCGAAATAAAAAAGAAAAAAAGAAAGTCATAGATGTTGTATAATATATACAGGCATATCGACACTAATATCCAACAATACAACATTATCACAGGGCACTGCCACTGCCATTATTAAATAGTAACCTGCAGAATGCAGCTTCCAATTTGTCGAGTGCTCCCAAGTCCCAAATACCAAGAACTATAAATACAAATTAAGCAACTCTTCTTAACATCTCCAAGATAGATTCTGGATCCCGGATTTCCTGGCTCTCTTGTGAATCTTCATTACCTTGCGAAAAATCTACACTGGTATATGTCAGGATCCCTGGACCATGCCCACTGCAATCCATTCCCCTTCCTTGCTGTGCACGTCTGACTTCCTTTTGGTGCCCAGTTAGTTCTAACCTTTTTCTTTTTGAACTTGAACACAACTTATTTTTTCGCTCAAATTGATTTACTGTATCCTCCAGTAACTCTACTCTTTTTGAGTTCATGCTGTTTGTTGCAGTCACCCTGTATCTTTGAGCAGTTACTTCTGATACTGAATGGCATTTTGCCAGAAATGGCAGACTTTTCTTTTGTAGGTTTATTCTTTTGTTTCTGGAAAGCTTGTCCAAGATAACAAGTAAACTCTCAGGGTAATTTAACTTGATCTGCTTACCATATGTTGAATTCCAAAATGTAATGGTAAGCTCTGAAATGGTGGATTTTGGGTGATTAAGAGTTTTTTCAAGAAGTGGTGCCTGAAGTTTTAGGAAAGAGGAATCAAAGACTATTGGGGGTCGGCACCTCCTTAAACAATTAAGAATTTCGGCCCACAAGTGGTGAAGTTGCTCGTTAGTGCTCGCATCCTGTATTTCTCTATGTGACAGCCACTGAAGCAGTGGACAACCAACTATCTGCAATGAAGTATAAATAAATTACCTACTACAACAGGACCACAGCAATATAACAACAAAGCTCCATGAAAAAATCGAAAATCTTTATCACCAACCCATGGAAAATGTTTCAAATCAAAGTTGCCATCATGGTCCTCCACTTTCAAGAGCAGCTCTTTCTCTTACTACAGAAGACTTATCTCTGTTCTCTCTTTAAAACAAGGAGTTTTTTTTCCCCCCTTATGAACTTGTTCTCTAAAAACACAAAGAAAAGGAACTAGATGTTGCTTATTTTACTAATTAAATAAATCCAGACTACTACAGTTAAAGCAGCTCTGTACCTCTGGTGACAAACTAACAGCTATTATATACTTGGCATTAATTGTTAAAAAAAAAAAATCGAGAAGCAATCCTTTATGCAAAAGAAGTTCAATTTTTCCCTATTTCCAGACACATAAATTTCTGAAAAACAGTATGCACAGTAAACTAAAACAGAGAGATACATACCTCAATAAATGCAAGGATAGATGGCTTTGTGTGAAGGGATCTGACAAAACGTACCAACACTGAAAAGACCCTGCAATTCTCAAAGAGATGATAGATGTGGTCACTATAATTACAGGGAACCCTGAGCACAAGGGGAAACAAAAAACAGAAGTATAAACAAACCTTGAAGTTGCACAGAGAACAATGGAAGGATCTGCTTCCATTTTTGACCACGACAGCTTCAAGAATCTAAACAATGCCATAACAAAAATAAGGGACAGCAATTGGAGAAATGAGAACCTTACAAAAATAAAATCATGTCTTTATGTCGTGCAGACCATATCAATATTTCGGTTAAGACAATTCACGTGCTTCACCTTCAAAGAGATGAACTCTTTTACCCTACTATGTTCATCAGGAATTTCACTAGGCATTTAACAAACGATATTTTCACTTACCTGGCAGCAAATCCCAAGCTATGGTTGATGCCACTGAATATCTTAGGGTCAACAGCATTTTCAACATTTTTCCCAACTGAACTGGCTGCCAAAGTCAGGATCTGCTGTTCCATGACACATTTCACAGCATTGCCAGATAAATAAGTGAGACCAAAATCCTTGCAATGAAAATATCGCTCAGTACCATGGTCAAGCATGCTGATATTTTGATCAATACAACCATTTAACATTGAACAAAGATCTGCAGGCAAACTGCTTGTTGCAGAGCACATAATGAACTTCGAGGAACAAACAGCTCCATAAAGTGACCTCCACACTTCAGCTATCTGTTGAAGTTTAAGCTTACTTTCTGCAGAAACATGAGATTCTTTCCACAAACCACTATCTTTCTCATGGCAAGAACAAACAATGAAAGGGTAGGATAAGAGGTGGCATATGGCAAGAGGGAAATCACTGTCAGAGTCCATTTTCAACAATGAAAGATCCTTTACACCACTGATGAAGTCTCCCAAACCTTTTGCTATAGCTGTCCAAATATCTAAGCACCTAAACCCCATGTGTTTATACAATAAACCAACAGCAACAGACAGATTTTCCACGGGATCGTACAATAAAAGTATAGTTTTGAAAAATCTGTGGAGTCCCTGAAGAATTAACTCCATGCTGTGGGTGGCATGAGTTGATGGGGTCACCACACAGATGTAGAGTACAGTTAGATAAACCAATGGCGAAACCATATCCATGTAAGCAACAGAGCTCATAGCCAAATATTTTTCATCTCTAATGTTGTCAACCAATTGCAAGTTCTCAATGGATTTAAGGTTTAAAGGCACCTTGTAAAGAGGGGATCCCAACATAGAAGGTTCTAACTCCTGAGCAACAGCCTCTAGAAATTGGAGGGAAGTATAATGCAATTCATTACTTTCGCTGCCTTCTGAATTTACACCTTCACAGGTCTTCTTTATGAACCTCAATATTATGTTCAAGCACAACATAATGTCGTTGTAATTTGTGGATGAACTTCTAAACTCCACTTGGACCCCTTTTAAAAGAGATCTAAATATCCTTAAGGCAGCATCACATGCTGAACTTCTAGTTTCAGGGGTGATTGTTGCAATTGTTGCATGGCTGATGATAATATCGATCATCTTTATAAAGAAATCCAAGCGACCAATAGTCCAGGGCAACCATTTAATAGGTCCCTGTTTCCATGACCATTTGCTGGACATTGAATGATGGCTTACCTGGCTAATGGTTTCATGGTCTAGGTTTCTGCATTTTGCTAGTATAAAATTGTCAAGCAGATCCAAGCACAGATTCCACAACCAGAGAAACTTAATATCAGGCCCAAACCGAAAAACAGCTCCAAAAATGGGATCTAACACCAGTTCTATCACCAAGGGATCGTTGATAGAGATATCAAGCTTATGCAGCAGATAAGACCATGTATTCAAGCATGAAGAGTAAACAGATACATCACATTGACTCAACATGATGCCGATTAGAGGTGTCATTATGAGTTTTATGCTTTTTGAAAAACCAGTTGCTTGAATTTGATAGCCGTTCCCACCAGAGGTTTGTACTCTTTGAATACCATTCTTAATGGATTCATTAGTATCAGAAGTTAAAAGTGGAGGGTGGATGAAAGCATCAACAAGACCTTCCCAGGCGACCTGCAAAATCAAGGCACGTGAACATTTTATCACTAAACATGTATTCTTTTCATTTAGTTTAAAAACTAAAGTAACAAATACCAGCATGCAGTACTGTGAACCCGAAGTAATCAGGGAGTTGGGTTGTTTTTGGTCACTGGAATCACGAAATTAATATTTGAGCTGGTGAGAATGGCTCAAAGTTATCAAAAAGCATTTTTATTTCCCTAGTTTTTTCAACCATAAAACACCTCTTTATATTAACTTTAATCCTTCCGCTATTTATAGTGGTTGCAAAATTCCCGTGGAAACACTAATACAGCTGGTTTAGTGAAAAGACCAAGTGAATATCTGTGCAAACTTGGGTCTGGTTGTTTCCATGAGGCTGCATGTGAAGATCAAGTGAACCCAACAATTATTATTCTTTACTTACCATTAACAATGCAATTTTGATATGGATCTGGTCTAATACCATCACAAGCTAACCATGGCACATGATTGATTGGCACAGATGAGAACGAAAAGAATTTTGTGAGCCTTCTATCTATGAAGTCCTGAATCATTAGTCACTAAAGATCCCCAATGCAAGTAGTTATTTTGTCAATTGAGTATCAAAAGTGACTGGAGGCCACAAAAGCAAAACCTGCTTCTAAATGCACCAATTCTACATGAAATACCAGCGAAGCAATCTGGACTTGTGGATTGTGATCCAAAAATGTTTGCTCCAGAATTTTCAGCATGTCATTAAGTAACTGCCTATACTTCATGGCATGAGATCCTAGTAAGCAGATAAACCATCTCCATGCTTGCAACATTTGAATTTTCATGCCCTGATTCAGAAGATTCTTCATTCCAGTAAGCAACTTCAATTTCATATCTTCAGCAAGTTCCTGTTGAAGAAATATGGAAGCATTTTGTTGGAAACCTTAGATTGTAGAAGTACAGCAAGTATTTTGGTTTCAACCATACATCAAGTCTTGTCTTTTCATTTAGAAAAAAATTAAGACTGGCATGCAATGAAAACAAGCAATAAAAAGATAAACAAATAAACAATGAAGAGGCTCATTATCACAATTGAAAGGATTGTTCACAACAACATTTACTAAACTAGAAATAAATAACGGTTAGCCCTGAAAAGCATGGAGGAAAACTATTCGCACCTTAGAAAGAGCAGGAAGAGGAGGAAATATTGTAGGCTTAATCTTCAGCAAACACCTTTCTGACATATCCTTTTCTCTCTTATCAGAGCTGAGAAGTCTCCTATATATTGGAGGAGCCCATATGTGTGAAGATTCTCTCATCCTCTCACTTAACTGAGCTGCTAACTTCATTACAGCCTATAACAGCAGGACCAAAAGAGTCAACGTAAACCACAATGTTCATCATATCCTCATTGTAATGCAACTCAAAACTAAAAACTTATAAGCCCTCAAGAAAAAAGTTGAGATAACAAGTAAAGGATCCTATCATTCTAAGAAGTAATTCTACCTGCATAGCCTCAAATGTCGTAGATAAAGAACCAATCGGATTATCAAGAGCATGAACAACCGCCCTCAACACTAAAAGGAAACAACCAACTTGAACTGATGCTTCGAATTGTTGCATAGATATACACCAAACTCCTAAATTACAAACTGACTGCAGTTATAATACAAACAAGTTAGATCACAAATGAACAACAGATTACCCTAAAAAGGACCATCATTACTCAATTATTCAGCATTTACCTTTATTTTTGTGCTCATAATTACTTTAGCCAATCCCTCCAAAACCAAATTAACATCATCAACTACAATCCAAATAACAAAAACAACAATCAAAATAATACACACTTTAAAAACATAATTAACTAATCAAAACCACAAAATTCACTAACCCGGAATAGTAGAAACAAGAGAAGGATGATAAATCATGAATCCCAGACACTTTAATGCCTGTGCAGCGCTGAAAATTGAAACAAAACAAACCCTCAAGTGAAACTGAAGACCCGTCAAAATATTCAAGTAAAGCTTTAAACTTTTCAACACTTACACTTCTTCGTCATCAATTGAGATGTCAACTGTGATCAAAGAGACTAAATTATGAGAATTATCAGCTAGGGCTTGCAGTAAAGAAGGATCATCTGTTGATTGTTCTTGCAGGTGTAAAAGAGTAGAGTAAGCGAGTGATTTGTTTGAATAAATTAGGGACTTTATTTCTTCGATTTGATTGGAAAAATTTGACATTGTTTTGGACCAAAATTTTTGGTGAATTGATAGGAGAGTGAAGTGGGAAATTGGGTCAAATTTAACAAACCCTAATAGTGAGCTCATGTGAACTTGGGTTCATTTTTCGCGCCAAGAGTTAGTAGCGTAGTGAGTACTCAGGCAAGTGGCAACGGTGGCGGGCATTTTAATTGAGGGCCTGTTTGGCTAGCTTGATATTCCTGTCCTTAGGCGGGGTAATATTTTGATTCTTCTTTTTGTGTTTTCCTTTTTTCTTTCAATGGGAATAAGAATAACAATAGATAGGATATAAATCGAGTATATGCTTTATTTCATTCAATAAATATTCATTAAAAATATTCAGTATGTATTAAAATGAACGAGGAAAAAATATATATATTTATTAATATGGTTTTAGAGTATGGATGTCCATTCTTACCTTATTCATGCCCACTAAATTCATTAAATTTTTTAATATATACAAATCTAATTGTATAAAATTTAAAATTTAAGGATTAAAATATTTTTTGAAAACTTTGAAGACCAAAAAACTTATAAATAAAGACCCTAAATATAAAAAATTGTTGTGAAAAATAAAAGTAATATGAGAATTTAAAGGAAGGATGACAACAAGAAGAATTCACTATAAAGTGAATACAAGTAAGAAAAACTTTAAGTTATTCTCTTAATCTCTCTAAAAACTTGTACATCAACAAATGAACAATCAAGCCTATAAATTGAGGTGAGAATTGGAAGGGATTATGAATAATTAAAAATAAATCAACTGCATCACCTTTTCAATTTCTCATATTGAATGGTGAATTGAATCACATTAAGGATCATGAGTAGTCGGGATATGAAAAGTAGATGGATATTCATATGGACATTCATTATTTTATAACAAAAATAATTTTAATAACCATTTAAAAAAAATTATAAGGAATAAAATGAAATGTTTTGATGAATTATTTTTAACGACACTAAATGAGCAAGTAAAATGATGTGGACCAAGTGTAGGTTGGGTAAAAATTTATGGAGTGAATTTTTAATGAATAAGATATTCTTTTATGGATAGGATAAAAAATGAATGAATAAATAAGATATTCGTCTATTGTCATTGCTACATGAAAATGTCACTTTATAATTATAACCTAGTATTTTATTCTGTTTTCTAATTTACACGGCTAAGTATTACATTATTAAAACACTTCGACTATTCAAGGTTTTTATCTTTTGATGCTATGGGAAATTGCAAATTCTAAATATTGTTTGTACTTATGTGGTTAAGATGTTTCAAAATTTTGACATGATGTCTTCTATTCGTTTAATAATATAAGTCACAATTATTATAAGTATTTATCAACTAATATTCCATGCATATGATGTTTTTGATTAGTTATTAGATGACTATTTGAATATCATTTATATCATCTTATTGACAACCATTTTTTACACAATTAAAGAGGTCATCTCTCTTTTTAACTCTACACACTTCTAGTATCCTCGTCATCCTTCTATGAAAAGCTTATTCTTTCTTGTTGTGCTTCGTTTGCTATCTTTGGTCATAATCCAACCCTTTACAAGACAATCTAAGAATGTTCGTTTGTTCTTCGGTTAGTTTACGTCACTAATAATTGTCACTTTCTAATTCTGTAAAATTTCTGGTACAATACTAGCTGGTCGCCTGCATTGCATCACGGGTCAAGCTGAACACGTGAAATCATCTAATTTTGTATTAAATTTGTTATTTCTTATTTTTTTTCTTAAATTTCATAGTTAAAAAAACTCATATTATTCTTCCTTATGTATTTATTCTTAAATAAAAACTTACAATAATCTAAATAGAAAATTTAATCCAAAAGTTAAAAAAAAATGCTTTAATAATTTTTTCATAAGATTGCATCAAAAAAAATAAAGAAACAATTGGTATAAAAACTTGTATAAAAATTCACAAATAATTTTTTTATTCTTATTTAATATTTATGAGAAGATTGTTTTTTTTTAAAGTATATATATTTGATTTATATATATTTATTAACAAGATAGTCGATGACATTAATATAAAAATTTGTATTTGAATAATTAAATGGTTCTTCCAAAATATTATTTCAATTATTTTATTTGAAAAAAAATGATTTTAGAAAACAAAAAAGAATAAATAACAAATAAATAGTGTTATATGTGCATATAAATAATGAATTTTTAATAAAACTAATGATTCATTTTTTTAATATATATATATTAAAAACTTGGAATAAAATTTCAATTAAAAAAAATCATGATTTATATTTGAGGAGATAATCGACATTCGAAATGGCATTTGCCTTCCAACATATGTTGTCCTCCTTGAGCACAATCGCACAAACTTATCCTAAGATGCTTTTGTTAGCAACATTTGACATAAATTTTATAGGACTCGAATGAAAACCAACCATAGGCCAAGATAAAATATTTTTCGGTTAAAATGTTGACATGTTTACTACGACATGCTGGTCATAAAACTTCAAATGAAACTTTAGTCCGATCCAATAAATATAAATTATGAACTAGGATTTTTTTTCTATTTTTAAGGAGATATAATGATTATATTTATTAAATTTAAATAACTAAATTTAAATTAAATGTATATGATTTATTATATAATAATAATAATAATAATATTTTTTATAAAATGAAAACAACTAAACTCATTATCATTTATTTTATTTTATTTTTTCCCTTATCCAAGAGTATTACTAAAAACCTTAGAACATGTGGGGGTGTTGACTACTTACACACTCACAAATTACTATGAATTGGATGGTATTTTTGTGAATTAAGTCAGTGGTATTTTCATTATTTTAAGATTTTTTCAAGTATTGAATAAGTCAAGAACATCGTTCGTCCCCGAAGTTATTTACTTTGGGTGGTATTTTTTTATAATTTTGAGGTTTTTTTTAGGTATTTTATAAATAAATTTTTGTTTATGTTGCACTTTTGTTCTTAATTTTTTCAATAAATTTTGTTTCGATCCACAAGTTTATTTATATTTGGCCTCTAACTGCTAAGAAGAGAGAAATAAAAAGATCTATGTGTGAATTTTTTAGTGAAGTTTTGGAATATGATTATTTGCTCTTAAAAAAAATTAATATAATTTATATGATGGATTTTTTGAATGTTTACATGATATATAAGAAATGGTTTTTTTAGAGAGATTAAAAATGTCTTTTAGATAATTTTTTTCATATTTTTTAGGAAAAAAAATTATAAAAAATGTTTTTAGTTAAGAATTCATATATATATATATATTACAAGTTTTTAGTTAAGAATCCAGATATAGAAGAATAAATCACATTTTTTTATCAAAAATTTATGAAAAACATAATGAATAATCAGTTAAACACATAATTTTGAATATATATACATATTTAAGTTGATATATCTTAATAAACCCATTGTATATTACGGACTATCAAATTGAAATTATTTTTTACAATAATTTTACATGTTCTATCCGATCAGCAACAAAGCTTGGGTAAAAAACTAGCCTCTACTGTTATACATAGTAAGAGACAAGAGAATTGAACTACCAGAACACTTTCTCTCAACAGCAACTCGGCCTAACTATACAGATGGATGTGAGAGAAAAATGAAATAAGACACTACCTCATAACAACAACAAAGGCTTGTAACGCTAAATTAAAACGAGAATACATGTCTAAGTCTGAAAACAGAAAAAGGATCTATCAGGTATCCCTCACAAAAACAATAAACAGTTTATTCACGGTTAGAGATTAGAAGAATTTTGGCCTTTAAATAATGCATCCTTGAACCTTGTTTATGCACTAATAGCAATCAGTGAGAAATTAAGTAGGAGTTACCATGGAAAAGCTAATCGAATATTTATGCTACATGAACTAATGCATCCCTAAACCTTGTTTTTAAACGAACAGCAATCAGTTAGAAATTCATGAACAGTTATCACAGCTAAGGTGATCGAATTTTTGTGCCACATGAATAATAACTTTTATTAGCCTCCAATTATACAGAGTTGAGACACATGAATGATGGATTGGAAACTATAAAAATGAGAGAATATATTGATCATGTTTTACATCAAAAGCTAGTGAATACCTTAGCAAGGATCTTGCCCAGCAAAAAGAACTTTGATAACACCACAGAAGTGGCTATACAATCGTCCAAGCCTGTAATTGTTCCTTCCCATGTCTTCTTTGGACTAATACTCAACCTACTACCACAATCAACATTTGAGAAACGCCAAACGTCTCTTTTGATTGTCCATAGAATGAGCAATAAAGAGAACTATTCCACCAAAATTTAACAGAAGTACTTAACATCACATATTTAAAGAGAAAAGGCAATCTAAGACATCAAATTGGCAACAAAACTTAATTTTTGGATTTTGATATATGAGTCGAGAACAACCAAGAAATTCTCGAACTCTCAAGCATATAATTGAAATTAAGACAAATTTAATCTTGTTTTCCTATTTAAATATTCTGAACATGTAAGCACGTCAATAATTGAAGTGATTAATACATTTGTCTTTGAATACCAGGATTCTACAATCTTCAAGTATATGGATATACAAACTCCAAAGAAACCAAGAACAAAATAAAGATAGAGGAAAGTCCATATTTTTAGCTAAAAAGAAAGCAACCTTTGAGGAAGAGCTCTTCACTAAGCCCTTGAAGCCATCTTTCTCTGATTCTCCATCTTCTCTTTTCTTGATCAAACTCTCATCACTAACCACAATTTATTTCTCAATTTTCTCAACTAGCTTACTAATAGAAATTAGTTTCTCCATCTGGGTATCCTCATAAATCAGCATAAAAACTCATTGTATCAACCCATCAAAGGTCTCAAACATATTTAACATCACACCAAGATCCCTCTCGCTTGTTACAACATAAAAAAAGCTCCCGTAGGGTATCTTGAAGACATTCTTACTTTCAAGTATCATTAAGATTTGCCTACTCATCGTTGTTCGCAATCTTATAAAAAAAAATGGTTGCTTCAACTTCTTCAATTGAGGGTCTTGATGGTAGTGATTTGAAGAGTCTTGTGATTTCTTCCACTGTTTCTAACAAAACAAGTGATGGGTCTTGATCTTTACTAGTTTTCACAGCCATGGATTGGGTGATCTTAAGGAAGACCCAATTGATTCGAGCAGCGATTTCAACAATTTTGTGATTTCTTGAATAGGAAGTTTGAATTCGAGTAAAAATTGAAGTCTTTGTTCAATTGAATTACCCAAAAAGAGGTAGTAAAGTTTGAAGGTAAAATAGATAATTGGGTAACTATCAGGGTTTATAAGGTTAAAGATTTTTTGGGGAACGACAAAGATGAAAAATGGTCAAGGGGGCAGCAACTAAAAAAAAAAAAAAAACAAAACAAGGGCTAGAAGGTAAATAGAATGGTGACTGAAAACATAAAAGAAAGAGCTTCTGTGTAGCAACATTAAATTCTCTATCGAACAAAAATGTACAATGACTAAAAAGGACATTAAGAATAAAAAGGAAATAGAAAAAATAAAGGTAAATATATATTTACACAAAATCACTAATTAAAAAAAATGATAATATAAAAGAAACTAAAGGGCGAGAAGCAAGCCACCCCATTAAATCAAGCCAGGATTGCCAAAAACACTTCAGCTTGAACGCATAAAAGGGCCTAAAAACACACAAAAGCAATAGCTGAAGAACAACTATTCAATCCAACGGCTTACTGGAAAACAACAATCCATCCAACAACTCGAGCACGAGAAGTAAAAAAACACAGTGAAACAAACAATACAATTAGGTGTGAATCCAAAGTAAGATTTTCTATATATATTTCATCTTCTTCTTCTTCTTCTTTTTCCCGTAATGTTAGGTACCAAGCTATTTAAAGCTTTATACGAAACAAGTTATTGGACCTGATAAAATTTTCAAAGGGTATGTAAAGTATTATGAGTATGGTGGGGCGCAATCTGGCAAGCGCCCATATTGCCCACCTTCTAGATCTTCTCCTGGAGGTCCTGATGGAAAAACGCAATCTTACATGAGACCTTTTCTTAATTCACATGCTTAGGATCTGTTTTTCTCGAACTGCATACTCTCTCACCAGACTATCTCGTTATATATATACTAGTGGCTTACTCACGCTATGCCGCATGTTTGATAAAAAAAAATTTAGTATTTTTTTAATTATTATATTTTATTTATTAATTTTTTTTTATAAATTTTCTGTTTAAAAAAATATAAATCAATTTTTTATTGATTGATTTTAAAATAAAAAATATATTAATTTTAAACTAAAATATTAATCAAGAATTAAAAAAAAATTTTAAAATATAATTTTCATAATATTGTATTTCAAAAAATAAAATTTTAATTAATGGATAAATTTTTACAAAATTTAAAAAATTAAAAAAAAAATTCATATTTAATACTCGATAAGAAGATTAATTTTTGAAATTACTATGCAACGCTACGGATAGATAGAACAAAATCATTTAAAATTTTTATAATTTTTTTATTTAACTATTACATTTTTTTTTATTTTTCATAAAATTTTTGCTTAAAAAAATGATTTATTCTTCTTTATTAAGGAATTCTTAAATAAAAAACTTGTAATCATTTAAACATAAAATATTAATTAAGAATTCAAAAGCAAATACTTTAAAACTATAAAATTTATATATATATCAAAAAAATAAAATTACAATTAATGTATAGACTTGCATAAAAATTAACGAATAAAAAATAAAATTTTATTCTTATTTAATGTTGGTGAAAAGATTTTTTTTTCAAGCATATACATTAGATCTATATATATTTATTTATAAAATAATCAATACAATTAGCGTAAAAATATATTTGAATAATTAGTTGGTTCCTTTAAAACATTATTTTAATTATTTTATTTCAAATAAATTGGTTCTATAATGTTAAAAAAATGTTCATAGTAAATAATTTTTATTGTGTTGGAAGATATATAGTTAATTTTTAATAAAATCAATGATTTAATAGTTTTTTATACGTCTTGACCATATATAGTGAATCGAGATAAATTATTTGAAATACACTTTTAACCTTTTAGAATTAAATAATTATATATTTATGTATATGCAACTATCATTTAAAAATTCTTATAATTCATGATATATACTATATCAATTTATTTTTTAAAAAGGAAAAAAATCATGTTTTAAAATTTTATTCTCAAATTAAAATATAGAGAAAAATAAATTATATTTATCGATAAATAAAATCTCATATAAAAAATATTCATTGGATGAGGATTTTCACATGATAAATTCAAAGAATGAAATTTAAATGATAAGAGTCATATAAGTTGAAGTGCATGTTAATTTTAAAATATAAAAAAAATAGTATATATACACACATATATACGCTGCGTGAAAATGAAAGAAAAATAAAAATTAAGGATTGAAAAAAAATGTTACAACATGAGGGATGAAAAATAGAAAAAAATGATAAATTTGCATATTAATGCCTAAAAACACACAAAAAAATAACTTAATTTGACATCAAGTGAATTGTAATTTTATGCATATGAACAGTAAGTGAATAGGAATCTTATAAAATATCATATTTGTTATAAAATAAATAGAAATAATAGGAGAATTGAAGAAAATAACGACAAGAAAATGAAATCACTATAATATGAATATAAGTTATAAGAGCTTCAAAGTTTCTCTTCTTCTCTTTAGAAAACTTATATACCAACTAATGAACAATCAAGCATATTTATGGCTTCAAAATTGAGGAGAGAATTGAAAGGGACTATGAATAATCAATTACATCACCCTTTCAATTTCTTATATTTAATGATGAATTGAATCATATTAAGAATCATGAGTAGTGGGGATATGAAAAGTGGATGAACATGATGATGGACATTCATTATTTCATAACACTCCCCATTGAATGTCCATTGTACAAGGAACATGCCTCGTTAAAACCTTATTAGAAAAAAACCCGAGTGGGAAAAAGTCCTAGTGAAGGAAAAAAAGTACAATATTCCTTGCACACATTAATCCCCATTTTGGTCTCCTCCCGATGAAGGTATTATTTAAGATCTCTAAGACGACGCATTCTAATCTTGTGAATCATTTTCTCAAAAGTTATGGTAGGTAATGCTTTGGCGAATAAATTTTCTAGATTGTCACTTTGATGTATGCTTCATTCAATGGAATTATCCAAGCAACATTATCCTCATATGATATTGTTGAAACTTCTTTTCTTGGTAGATAAACTCGTATGTCTCTCGGATACAATGGATCATTGATCTTAGCCAAACACATACTCGATTTGCCTCGTGAATTGATATTTACGCATGATTTGAAGATGTGGCAGCTATAGTTTGCTTTATATAATATAAACATACAGCTGGATCTCCATATGTAAATATATAACCGAGTTGTGATCGAGCTTTATGTAGATGAGATAAATAACATGCATCCGCATAACCAACTAATCTTGTCTTTGATTTATTGGAGTAATATAAGCCCATATCAATCATTCCTCAAAGATAACGTAGTATATATTTAACTTTATTTCAATGTCTCCATATTGAAACAAAACTATGACTTGCTAACAAATTTATAGAAAATATTATATTAGGTTGAGTATTATTAGCAAGATATATCAATGCACCGAGTGGCACGAAGATGTGGTACTTCGGGATCAAGTAGTTCTTCGTTATCTTCTCGAGGTTGAAAAAGGTCTTTTTGGATATTAAGTGAAGGAATTACCATTGGGCTAGTCAATAAATGATCTTTATATAGAATCATTGTAGAACCTTCTTCTATATAAATTGGTTGATGAATGAAAATTTTATTCTCTAAGTGCTTGAACTGTAAGTCAAAATAACATTTTATTTTTTCAAGATATTCACATCAAATTCTCTTTTTAGGTAACTTATGACACTTGGAATCTCTTCGGGAGTTTCGATAATATTTAAGTTATCAACATATACAACAAACCCTTTTTCAAATAAAAATATATGAACAAATAGGGTTATTTTTTTATAACTTTCTTTCAATAAATAATCATTGAAGTGATTATATCACATGCACATGGGTTAGTAATAAACAATAGATATAAAAATAAAATATAAAAAAGTGTAATATAAATTAAATTTCTAAAAAATAAAATAATAAAATAAATACTAATAATCCTAATAGAGATCTCTATAATTTAATTGAATTCTTTTCTCGATAATATGTATTACATGCTTCGACTTGTTAAGTCATTCTAGAAATTTCATACTAATATCATTTCAAATGAACAAATAAATTGTGATCACATTCATTAAATGCATGCATATGAATGTTTTTCATATTTTTTTCTAGGTTGATGAGATAATAAAATATAATTACATCTATTATAGGAGAATATGTCTCCTCATAGTCAATGTCAGTTCTTTACGAAAAGTCTTATGTTAAAAGTTTTGCTTTGTATCTTATAATCTCATCTTTCTTATTTCATTTTCACATAAATACATATTTGGATCCCACTAGCTTAACATCTTCGGGTGTTTTAGCTATGGGTTCAAAAAACTACTATTTTATAAGAGAATATAATTTCGTATGCATTGCTCTTTTCATTTAGGTCAATCATCTTTATGTCAATATTCTTCAATAATTTAGGCTCAAGATACTTATTTTCATTCAAGATATCAATTGAAACATTATATACAAAAAAATATTTCTTTTCGATCCTTATTTTCTCCCTGTATTGACATAATTTATCAAAATCTCTTGATTTTTCTCAAGTATCCGGACTTCTTCCGGAAGCATATTATCGAAATATCTTAGACCGTTTTGTAAATATTGTTATCTTTTATATTTTCATCTTTTTTTTTTCTTTTAAGGATTTTTTTTTGTCTTTAGAACCAATCGGTCTTCCATGCTTCGGGCGTGCTTTAAATTCATTAGCTATAACATTAATAGATCGGCTTTCTAGGGCATCAATTCTAATAGGAGCATTCTCGGCGGGGACATGCATTATAGATACTCATTTAGGATCCGAGAATGCATCTAGCGATTGGTTTGTAATACTTTGTAAATGAATTATCTTTTGGACTTCGGTTCACATTATTTTGTACAAGTTTCAATATGATA